GGTTGGGGTTTCCCCCTCATATTTTTCTTCACTATGGATTTTCTATTGTGATGTCTTTTAGACTTACTGTCCCTATTTTAAAATAGAAAACCGTGAGTCCCAGAGATTTTCATTTGGCAAGGCCAAATAGCTAATAAATAATAACCTGTCTTCAGATCTGTCTTTTAAACCTGTGTACTTACCTAATAATTTCTGTATCTTTAACATATCACATGAAAAGCAATTATTTTTTAAAAAAATTAAAGAAAATGAAACAAAAAGCAATTATCATCTTGAGCCAAATGAATTACTTTGAGGTGTCCTTTAAGCCATAAGACTAACTAGGCATTAAAATAATATATTATTTCAGAAAAGGTGAAATGAGGTATGAAGCTATAGAGGATACAGAGGAACCTTCATGGAAGCCTTTCAAATATGAGAATTTAAACTTGATCTGTGGGCTTTTGGGAGCCATTAGAATTATCAAGTATGTACATATGGTGACTGGCATTGAGTGCTAAATACAGATCCAATGAATAAATGGGACTTGTCTTTTTTAAAAAAAAAATGTAGGAAAACCACTGAATGAGTTCAAGAAAAGATGGCAGAGTTTGAACAGTGGCATACTGAAGCAAGCTGGTACTTGTTTGGAGAGACAGATGTGAGCACTTCTTACCAGTTTCTGACTCAGTAACATCATGTTGGCACTCTGAAATCAGCTATGGTGAAAGTACTAGCACCACAGAAATTGGCACACACTACAAACTGAGTTTATCTTTTTAGAGTGCCAGTTTGCTAGCACACCACTGACCTAAATGAAAACAATGGATGGAATGAAAAAGGTAATGCAAACTAATGGTGTTAATGAGTAGAATCATCAGCTTTTGGATAGCTATAGCAATGGGAAGATTCTAATCTATCAACATTTGACTTGGATAATTCAGTGGGATACTAGTATCACTTGCTCAGATATGGAGTACATGAGAGGAAAGAATGAATTTGTTTTGGGACATGTTGAAATTGAAGTTACTGTGTGGCAGTACACAGTTGCTTATGTGAAAATGGAACTAAAAAGAGCTCTAGACTCTATAATATAGACTATGAGACTCATGAGGATTTAACTAATAGCTGAAATGGAGGTAGATGACTATTTTAAAGGGGTACAAAGGGATACTCCTGGTTGTCATAAGTCTTAGTGTTTTATAAAGTAAAAAGTGAAATAATCAAAGACAGTTTGAATAAGCGGGTCCTGTTGTTTTCCTTATTAATATTGCATTTGAATAAAATTATCATTTCACTATAAATGAATTTTGAGGAAGTTAATACCTGATGAAAACAGAGCTGTTATAGATCAGATATCTAAGAATTTTACAAGATTTATCACAATGACACTTTAACACAACCACTACCACAACAAGAATTTTCTTAAATGTTAAAAATACTAGACATCTGAAAGAACAAAAACATTCTAGAAAAAGAGGAAGCAAATTAATTTAAAGGCCAATAAAAATGTAATAGCAACCAATTTTATCCCTAACTTAACCTCAATTTTTCTTAACACATTGCATCATAATGGTTTACTTCTTTGCCTCCACAATATGGAGAGAGAGAGAGGCATTTGCTGCAGAAGTTCAAGGACTGAAGCTCAACATCAGGAAAACAAACATTCTCACCACAGGGCCAATTGGTAGCTTCATGACAGACAGATAAGAGATTGAGATTCTTAACAACTTCAACTTTCTTGGTTCCACAATCAACAGCCTTGGTATCAGCAATCAGGAAATCAAAATACGAATTGCACTGGTCAGGTCTTTTGTCAGGGACCTCTCCAGAGTATGGAAGAGCAACAGTGTCAGCCTGGAGATTCAAGTGCACCTGATCCAGGCCATGGTCTGTGCAATTACTTACTAAATACCTAAAAACTGGACAATAATTAACGATGATAGAAGAAGGATCGATGCATTTGAGTTATGATGCTGGAGAAGTGTTGACCATACCGTAGACTGCCAGGAGAACAAACATGTCTGCCTTGGAGGCAAAGATTTTGAAGCTCCATTTCACTTACTTTGGGCATGTGACCAGGAGGGACCAGTCCTTAGAGAAGGACATCATGCTTGGAAGGGTGGAGGGACAGTGCAGGATGAGATAGATTGACTCAGTGATTGGAGAAAGGTGATTAGGCCTATTGGAGATGGTGAGATTGGCTCAAGAAAGGGCATAGTTCAGAGCTAATGTCCATAGGGTTGTTATGAGTCTCAGGCCACTCATAACTATGTAGAGTCTTATATATAGTATATGCAAACCCCAGGAACACCTATTACCATGGAGTGGGACTCATAGCTATCCTAAAGGGCTGAGTAGAACTGTCCTACAGTGTTTCCAAGGCTACAAGTCTTTACAGAAGTCACGCCTTTCTCCTGCAGAACAGCTGGCAAGTTTGAGCCACTGACTTTTTTTTTTCTTTTTTTGGTTAGATATTTAATCTTTAACCACTGTGCCATGAGAGCGCCTACATATTATATACAAAAACAAAAACAAACCCTATCATTTCTAAACAGGATGACAGGTTTGAACAGATGACCTGGAAGTTCCCTTTTAACCTCAAGAGTCTATGAAAAAGGAAGTGGTGATAGCTGCTCGCCACTTAAAAGAAGAAGTGGGCTTAGTTCTTTGTGGTCTTGTGGCTCCAAAAGGTCAATAGTTGGGGGCTTTAGAAAAGCTGTAAACTTTTCTGAATATAACATTAGTGAGAATTTTCTAACATTAGCAGTTACACAACAGAAGAGTGTCTCAGGAGGAGATAGTTACCTCTGAAGTAAGTACAGTATAAAAGCTGTAAGGCTGTAAGGGGCTTTGAATCTCTTCAGTTAAAGTCTCCCCTATCTTGTGCATGCTATGGCCTATTCAGAAAAGCATATTTGCATATAGCACAATGGGGTGAAGTGGATGAGATTTGGTAACTAACATGGTGCTGGATGAGAAAGTATATGGGATCTGTCTTGGGTTGTATTGTGTCATTTCAAAATATATGTCAACTTGGATGGCCTTAATTCCCAGTAGTTTGGCACTAGTTATGCAGTGGTATAATTTGGTGATTATGTCATGATGTGATCAGCTAATCTATGGTGAGATGCAATACCTTTTATCAGTTCAGAGCCCTGATCCATGTGAGTGGAGTTTCTCTGGATATGGCCTTTCACATTTCATCTTACAAGTGATGAAAGAGCAGTGAGGAGAGAAAGAACCTACAATCACCAATAAAGAGAAGGGAAAGGAGTGCATCCTTTGGACCCTGGGCCCTCTAGCTGGAAACCTCCTAGATCCAAGGGAACACTGAGGATGAAGACACATGGAGAGTGCCAAAGGATGTAGAGTCCAGCTATCCTCAAAGGAGACAAAGACTTTACTTCAGAGCCAGTATTATGAATTTGGACTTCTATGTACTGAAACTCTGAGAAAATAAACTTATGTTAAAGCTATCCACTTGTATTTTTCTGTTTTTGGAGTACTAGATAACTAAGAGGGATCTCGTGGCCTGGTGGTACTGCAATCTCAAAGGAATGCGGTTTGAATCCAACATTTTCCCTGCAAGAGAAGGATGGGCAAACTTCTGAGTAGTTTACAGCCTCTGAAAACCTGCTGGAGGGTCAGCTATGGGTTGATTCCCACTCGACCGGAAACAACATCAACAGATAACTAAGAGGGAACTCTGGAGTCTTAGTAGGGCAGGAGTTGCACTGCTAATCCAATAATGGCATCTCTCCGGTTGTTCTAAACCCATCTTTCCTCTGTGGGAAAAAGATATGGTTCTAACCCGCATTTCTTGAGAAAGATGGGCAGTTTCCTGCCTTGCTATTTACAGCCTCGGAAACCCAATGTAGTCTCGAACTTATGAGTTTGTGCTAACTTGATTGGCAATGATGTGTGGTGAGGAAATAACCAAGACATGATCTTTAGATAAGTTAAAGAAGAAGGCAAACACACAACATAGCATTCAAGCTATTGAGTCTTTTAAGTATGAAATGTCTATATTTTCTTCTAATAAAAATCAATGTATATCAAGATGTCTACGGATACTTACTCGTCCCACATTTTGAAGAGTTTTGCTTGGGAAATAATCTGATCTAGCCCATCATCCTCACTGGCAGAGAGTTAATGTCAGTATTAGAGGTGTAAAGTGAATCTCCAGACAAGTCAGTCTCATTGCTTCGATTGATTAAGCAGAGCTGGATGCCAGATTTGAAGAAATGGGCCAGGCGTATGTGCAGCGGAAGAGAGTCTAAATAAAAATTTAAATAGGGATCACTTGGAAAAGAACTTACTAAAAGTTGGGAAACTTGTGAAAAGGCAGACCCACAGGCGTCACGCAGACTAAGTGAACCCGACCCTGCCGCAGGATGTGCAATTTTAGATTTGCAACAGCCTGACACACACCCTACTCCGCTTTCACTCCCTTGAATATTCGAAATCGGGTCTCAGTTAAACGGAGAGCCTCTGTCTGGAATCAGCACATTACTCCAACATTACAGGACAGCGAGGGGTGCACAGCCAACCTGCGTCCTCTTTGTAAAGTGTCTGTTACGTACTAGCCCTTTAGACCGTCATCGCGGGACTCCAGCCAGCGTCCGCTCACGAGGCGGCCGCCTTAGCGCAGTCACCTACCCCGCGAGCTGACTGCTAGGGCCGGGGCAGGCGGCTCTGCAGCGCCCCCTGGAGATCAGGGCCTTCGGACGCAAGGGGCTGTCCTTTACCTGCGTGGGTCTCGACTAGTTCCTCCCTCTTCGCAGTCCCTCCCACCGGAGGGGGCACTACGGCGCCTGCGCAAATTGCCTGCACGGTCTTGCTCCGCCCCCCGACCCCTAACCGGATGTTAACTGGCTTCCCATAGTGCTTCGCGAGTGGCGGGCATGGTAACAAGCCTGCTGGGCGTCGCGTGCGGGCTTTAGTTGTCATTGTTGCAGTGGGTTTTGCCCTGCTGGGAGTTCCTAGGAGATTGCATCGTTCGGTGGCTCGCAGGTGCTATGGCACTTCTCCGGGGCGTGTGGGGCGCGCTCAGTGCCCTGGGCAAGAGCGGAGCGGAGCTGCGCGCCCGCTACGGAAATCTACTGCGCTTTCCGCTCAGGTAGGACCTCGCTCCTGCGACCCGGGAGGTGGCGGGCCCGAGGATGCCCCGGGGCCGCAGTGAAGACTCTTTCCCTCCCCTTCCTGCCCCTCTGAAGCAGGTCAGGGTCACTCTGATTCTTTATTACCTACTGACCTCGACTTTGCCAGGGGAACCGTAGCTTTAAAACCAGGCCTCCCCACACTAGCATCCCATGTCCTGTTTCCTGCCGCCCTCCACCTTTCTTCTCCCTCCATCCCCCATGGTCTGGTCTCCGAGCACCTGTGCACTGCCAAGTCACGCCAACGGTCTCCCGCCACCACCTGGGCGTCGAGAAGGCGGGGCAGGTGATAAGTGTGTCTTTCCGAGAGTTTAGGACTTTGAGACTTAAGTTTTGTAGTCTTTAGCCCCTCTGGGCTAAGAATGTCTCAGCTTTATTGTAAGGAATACAGCGTCTTGATGATGCCTTTTCTGGGATTTGCGCATACTGACAATTAAACTTGACATGTGTTTTCTTTTTATCTGTAGTTTTTTGTACATACCGAGATGGTTTTCATCCACCATAGGGACCTACCCAAAGAAGCCTCTGAGTTCTTTTTTGCGATTTTCTACAGAACAGCTCCCCATATTTAAAGCTCAGAACCCAGGTAAGGAGTCTGAAGGAATATTCTTCTCTGATGTACAAATTAAAAGCAAAGCAAAGCATTTAAACCACAAACCTGACTTGCAGTTCCCAAAAGGATCCAGTGGTTGCAGAAACATACTTAATTATTCTTTGTTTGGTAGTCTGTAAAATAGACATGGTCATCACAAATAGGACTAAGGATGATAGAAGAACAATTGATGCCTTTGAGTTGTGCTGGAGAAAAGTTTTGAACATACCATGGACCACGAAGGGAACAAATAGGTCTGTTTTGGAGAAAGTGAAACCAAGTTTCTCCTTGGAGGCTAGGATTTTGAAGCTCCATCTCACATACTTTGGGCACATGGCCAGAAGGGACCGATTGTTGGAGAAGGACATCATGCTCAGAAGGGTGGAGGGACAGTGCAGGAGAGGAAGAAGACTTTGGATGAGATAGATTGATACAGTAACTATGGCAATGGGGGTAGGTGTATCCAATTCATTGAGACTGGCTCAGGACAGGGCAGGCTTCAGAGCTGTTGTACATAGGGTTACTATGAGTCGCAGATGACTTGACAACACATAACAACATAATGCATTTTATACCAAATAGAAATGTTTTATATATAAATGAGAACTGATAACAGTATTGTAAAAATAGCAGTATGTGTAGTGTAAAGCACTCCAAAGAGAATGAAAAATCTGAGTTTTGGACCTAGATGCTGTTGACTTAGAAGAGCACTGATGAATTATTTTAGTTCTTGCTTTGCTCTTCCTTCTTATGAAATTACTAACAGATCCATAAATTAAGGAAAAGTGTTTCACAAACCTCTATAGGTATATTCAAATTACTGCTAAGTTCAAGAACTTCCCATGGCAAATAAGTTTCTTAGACAAGATTACCAGGAACCATTCTTGTGGAATCCTTCGAAATCCTGTGGAGCTGGGATAGTCACAAACCTTTCAGCTCTGGTGACTTAGTGTTAATAAGTTGCACTGCAATTCTGAAGGCTCATGGTTCAAATCCCCAGGAGAAAGATGGGCACTCTTTTTGCGATTAACTGCCTCGGACGACCTAACCATAGGATCAGCTATGGGTTGGCTCCCTCGATGGTACACAACAACAACCACCTTTGTTTATGGTTGTAAAAGGCCTTTGCTCTGCAGTAGGGAGCTCTGGGGGGGTCTACTGGGCTACTGGGTAAGGAGTTGTATTGATAACACAAAGGTTGTTATTAGGTTGTTATGTGCCGTCAGGTCGCCTGCAACTCATCGCGACCCTATGTATAACAGCCCTAAACTCCCCTCTGTCCTGTGCCAATCGCACTGTCTCTGACACTCCCATCCCAATTATCCCAGTCACTGAATCAGTCCACCTCACAGAGGGCCTTCCTCTCCTGTGCTGTCCCTCCACCCTCCCAAGCATGATGTCCCTCTCCAAGGACCAGTCTCTCCTCACAACATGTCCAAAGTATGTTAGACGGAGCCTCAGAATCCTTGCCTCCAAGGAGCCACCCGGTTTAACCCTTTCCAGGACAAATCTGTTTGTTTTCCTAGCAGTCCATGGTATTCTCAGTACTCTTCTCCAGCACCACAGCTCAAAGGCATCAATTCTCCTTCTATCCTCCTTGGTCATTGTCCAACTCTCTGATGCATAACAGGTGATTGTGAAGACCATGGCCTGTATCAGACGCACCTTAGTCTCCAAAGAGATACCATTGCTCTTCAGCACTTTGGAGAGGTCCCTAACAGCAAAGGTAGACAATTCAAATTCACTAGCTGCTCCATAGGAGAAAGAAGTCTCCTCATCTTAAGTTACAGCCTCAGAAAACCCACTGGAGGGTCAGTTGTGAATCAGTTCTGACTCAGTGACATGTAACAAGAACAATGTTAAGATTTGAGGAAGGAAAGGGAAATTACAGGTTGACTTTGAAATAATGTTAGGGAGCTCTGGCGGCCTAGTGGCAAGAAGCTGCACTGTAATCCCAGAGGTACGCACTTTGAATCCACCAGATGTTCTGCTGGAGAAGGAGGGTCCCTCCTCCTATACCAGTCAGATCCAATTTGACGGTACACACACAAAAAATAATAAAAAGTAAGTAAATAATGTTTAAGAAATTTTATTTCAGTACTTGAGATATATGGTGATATTACATGAATCAAGATTATATTTTCTTTAGTCAGATTATGAATATAATTTTTTAAAGACTTAAAATGTTTTAATACATTAACTATGACATTTGAAGCAATTGATTATCCAGTTATTTGAACTTGTAATGAACTACAGAGGACTAATGGTGATATTTCTCAATTAGTAGATAACTTGCAAACATTTTGATAATTGTTGTTATGTGCCGTCGAGTCGCTTGCAACTATATTTAAATTAATTGGATAATGAAAAGTTTGTATTGTCTTATTAATGATATAGTTATATCTATACTATAACTTGCTTTTGGAGCTAATGGATTATGTTTTCTTGGAAGTCTTTAGAAATTAATCATGACAGAGGTAAAATTGTGATGATTTTCCTTGTTTGGTTCTAATCCATAGATGCGAAGAATTCAGAACTAGTTAAAAAAATTGCCCAGTTATGGAGGGAACTTCCAGACTCAAAAAAAAAAGTAAGCATATAGGTTTTCTTTTTTTTTAAACTTTATTTTGTGTTGTAGTTACTGTCTATAGTAAAACATACTCCAGTTTAGCAGTTTCTCTGTGTACAAATCAGTGCCATTGATTTCATTTTGTCGTGTGCACAACCATTCTCATCTTCACTTTTCTGAGTTGTTCCTCAGCATGAACTCACTATCCCCCAGCTTCTAATCTTCCAAGTTGCTGTTAACAATTTTATTCCATATAAATAGTTTGTAAGAGAGCATAACACGCACGACAGATTTTTATTTACTAAAAAAATTGTTTGATTTTTTTTTTTTTTAAATTATTAAGAATTGTCTAAACAATTGTTTGATTTTAAGGTTACTTCAGGGATTATTTTTGGTTTAAGGTCTAACTGGCAAGGTAGTAGTTCTAAGGCCTCACCTGTTTTGCAAGTGTACAATTTAGTGAAAACATTTATAATGGTTTTGCAACCCTGACCTCAGTTAAATTTTTTTCTTCACTGTAAACCAAAAATCAGTACTCATAAGCAATTAGACCCTTCTCCCATTTTTCCTTTTCTCCTGCCCCTGATAACCACTAATAAATTTTGAGCTCTCCACATTTCACCTTTTACTGTCAGTAAAAATGTTTGGCATTTGCTTGCTCACCAGAAGTCTTGTTTTCAAACTACCAGCCTCTTCACAGCAGAAAGGCAAGGCTTTCAGCTTCTGTAAAGATTTACAGCTTTGGGAACTCTGTGGGCAGCTCTTCCCTGTTCTAAAGGGATACTTTTGAGTCAGACTTGACTTAATATCAGTGGATTTGGTGTTTCCCCCCGCCCCACTCTTGGAAGTCACTAATAAACGTTGGTGTCTATACAGTTTGCTTTATCTTTTTATATGAATGAAGTAATACAGCATGTCTTTTTGTGATTGACTTTTTTCGCTCAGCGTAGTGTCTTCTGGCTCTGTTTGTATCATGTATTCAGACTTCATTTTGCAACAACTTGCGTTAAGCAGATGACACAACCTGACTTGTTAAAAGTGAGGAGGACTTGAAGCACTTGCTGTTGAATATCAGAAACTACAGCCTGTTGCGTTAAGCAGATGACACAACCTGACTTGTTAAAAGTGAGGAGGACTTGAAGCACTTGCTGTTGAATATCAGAAACTACAGCCTTCAATATGAATTACATCTCAACATCACCAAGACAAAAATTTTCACCACTGGACTAATAGCATCATTATAAGTGAAGACAAGATTGAAATTGTCAACAGTGTCATCGTACTTGGATCCACAGTCAGTGACCTTAGTACTAACAGAAGATCAGGATACGTATTGCACTGGAAATGTCTACTGTCAGGGACCTCTGCAGTTTAAAGATTAAGGCGCCTGATTAACGCCATGGTCTTTTCAGTCACTTGTTATGAGTCCTGGACAGTAAGTAAGGATTACAGAGGACGAATCAATGCCTTTAAATTGTGGTGTTGAAGGAAAATATGAAATATCCTATGGAGTGCCAGAAGAACAACTAGATATGTCTTAGAGAAAGTGCAGGCAGCGTGCGCCTTGGAGGCAAGGATGCAGAGTTCCCTCTCACCTACTTTAGGCATGTTGTCACGGGGGCTGTTCCTTAGATTTGGACATCATGCTTAGAAGGGTGAAAGATCAGTTAAAGAGACGAAGACCACTAACGTGATGGATTGACACAGTGACTGCAGCAGTGGGCTTAAGTGTGTCAGGGTTGAGGAGATTGGCACAGGACAGGACAGGGTTCAGATCTGTTGTTTAGATGGTTGCTGTGGCTCATATTCCACAGCACCAAACAACACAACTTGCTAGGTAGTGCTCTGTTGTTTATCAGTTGATGGACATTTAGATGGTTTCCTGGTTTGACTGCTGTGAATGGGCTGCAATGAGTGTAAGTGCACAAATCTCTTCAGTCTCTGCTTTCACATGTTTTGGAGATAGGTATAATTGTAGATACATGTGTGAGTGAGTGCATATATACATACATAGTGAAATTGATGGCTCTTATGTTTTATTTTTCTTTTCATTTTAGTTTCTGATTCACTTCCATACTGCTTTCCACAATAATTGTACCATTTTGTATTTCTGACAGCAGTGGGTAAGGGTTACAATTTTCCCATAGCCTTTATCAACATATGTTTTTGGTTTTTAGTCATGAAAATAGAAATGAAATAATATCTCATTGTTTTGATATGTATCCTTCTGGTGACTAATCATATTGAGCAACTTTTCATGGTTATTTGATTTTCATCTTTGGTGTACTATCTAGTCAAGTCCTTTGCTCATTTTTTGTTAGGTTCCATCGAGTCGAGTACGACTCATACCATCCCTGTGAACAAAAGATGTGAACCTAGGCCTGTCCTGCACCATCCTCACACTTCCTGACATATAAGAGCCCATTGCAGCAGTCACCTTGTCCACCTGGTTGAGGGTCTTCCTCTTCCTCACCAACCTTCCATCCTTCCAAACATCATGTCCCTCTCCAAGGAATAGCACCTCTTTGCTATATGTCCAAAATATGTGAGGTGAAGCCTCATCATTCTTACCTCCAAAGAGCATTCCTCCTGCACCCTCTCCAAGATGTATCTACTTGTTTTCTTGGTTGTCCAAGGAATGTTCAGTGCTCTTCTCCAACACCACAGCTTAAAGGCATCAATTCTTTTTCTGTCATCCTTATTCATTGTCCAGGTCTTGGATGTATAGCTAGTAATCGGAAAGTCAGACGTACCTTAGTCCTCAAACTGACATCACTACTCCTCAATAGTTTGGAAAGGTCCCTCACTGCAGTTATTCTCATTGCATTGCATCTCATTATTCCCTGACTGCTCGTACCAAGGGTGTTAATTGTGGATCCAAGCAAGTTGAAGTTGTTGACAATTTCAGTCTCCTCTCCATCCATCATGACTCTGCCTATTGGTTCATTGGTAAGAATCTTTGTTTTCTTGCTCATTTTATGACTATATTATTAATCTTTTGTCAGTTTTATATGTATCTTCAGTTATTAGATTCTTAACAGACACATAGTTTTTGGAGATTCTCTCCTAGTCATTATCTTTCCACGTTTTGGTCAAATCTCTTAATACATTTTTAATTTGTGAGGTCTTAATTGTTTTTACTTTTTCTGTTTGTGATTTTGTTAGTATTGCTAGGCCTGACAATGTCCCTTCCGTTTTCTTCTGAGAATTTTATAGCCTTAATTTGAACATTCAGGTCTTTAAATCTGTTATAAATTTGTTTTTGTGTATAGTGTGAAGCATAGATCCTGTTCCATTTTCCTGTATGTGGAAATAAATTTTCCCTGCATCATTTATGAAGATTCTGTTCTTTCTTCATTGAGTAGACTTGGCACCCTTACTGGATGTTTACTGTAACCATGTTTGTATTTATTTCTGGACTCTAAATTCTGTTGTTACTCTGTGAGATCATGGGTTTCAGTACTATTGGCCTGTATAGTTAAGGACACTTAAATCTTTGAAGGACTTGGATTACCCAGATTTTTTTAAAAACTCAGTTTTTACAAAGGAACATATATCTCTTGATTTGTAGTAATATAAATTTATTATATTATTATAATTTGTATTAATATAAAGATAATAAAATTGTACAAATCAAAACCACAGTGGGATACCATCTCACCCCAGTAGCAGTGGTAAAGATTAATAGGACAAAAAGCAATAGATGTTGGAGAGGATGTGGAGAGAGAGGAATTCCCATACACTGTTGGTGGGATTGTAAAATGGTACAACCACCCTGGAAGGCAGTCTGGCATTTGTGCAAAACTCTGAACATAGAAATTCCCTTTTTTAAAAAAACAGAAAGAAAGATGTTCCATATGACCCAGCTATTCCACTGCTAGGAATATACTCCAAGAAAATTAGAAATGATACACAAATGGAGATTTGAACACCAATGTTCATAGCAGCGTTATTCACCCTAGCAAGAACATCGAAACAACCCAAACGTCCAACCACGATCAAATGACTTGAGAAATAGTGGTACATTCAAATGATGGACACAGCACTCAGGAACAATAATTTTGAAAATTACTATGTACCTTGGGAGAGCATTAATGCTGAATAAACTCACCCAGTCTCATAAGGATGAATACTGCAAAAGACGGTTATTGTAGAAATAGGTAACTAGTAAAATGAGCATCCTAGAGGAGGGGATTGGAAGCAGAAGGGTAAGAATGGGCAGGGGGGACGTCGTAGGGTCGCACAATGTGGTGGCTGGAAGGAGGGGTGGGTAAAGGAAATGTGAAAGATTCCGGCAGGGATCTGGAAAGACAGGATAATGGTGGGCATAGTTCAGTGATAATTGATTTTATAAAACATAATGGGAATGATTTTATGAAACACGATATATATATATATATATGAACTTAGTAAACAAACCAATATAAAAGTTTTTTATAAAGTTCTGATTCGTAAAAAGCATGGATTCTGAGGATGGAAATGAAAGATGGACAGCAAGTCTAAATTGGATCCTATTTGCTTAGCATGTGTATGAAAAAATAGCTGTTCTTGTTTTTTATCCATATATGTGTGATTCTAGAGGATATTTTCTAGTTGGTAGTTAACTCTTCTTGCCTAACAGATGTGTTATAAATTTGGTAATAATACGATTTTTTCATTTATTTGGGTCTTTTATAGATATATGAAGATGCTTACAGGGCAGACTGGCAGGCATACAAAGAAGAGATAAACAGAATTCAAGAACAGCTAACTCCAAGTCAAATCATGTCTATAGAAAAAGAACTCACGCAAAAACGTTTAAAAAGAAAAGCATTAATAAAAAAGAGAGTGAGTATTATTGAGTTTTGTTTTTTTTAATAATGTTGATATAAGTAGGTTTTTCTTACTTTCATAAAACTTTATTTGGATATATGGTAGAATGTTGTACATAGGTTACATGTTTGGTAGGGTGGAGGGACAGCGCAGGAGGGGAAGGCCCTCTATGAGGTGGATTGATTCAGTGACTGGGATAATCGGGGTGGGAGTGTCAGAGACAGTGCGATCGGCACAGGACAGAGCAGAGTTTAGGGCTGTTGTACATAGGGTCACTATGAGTTGCAAGCGACTCGACAGCATCTAACAACAACAACAATGGTAGAATGTTATTGTTTTCCAACTAGGCAAATAAAGGATAGCTCTCTTACATCTACTGCTAGGACCACTTGCCATAGCATTTCTTTTGGATATACCTGACACTATTTTTTTTTAATACTAGTTTATTGACAAAATTCTAATACATTGTTTTCCAGAACACATTCTTCCAATTTCCCTTATCCCTACCATCAAACTGTCTAACTCCATGATTAAGCCTCCCCTACCCCTGCACATCCTCATCCCTCTGCTTCCAGCCCCCCTTGGATCCATATACTCATTCTACATTAATGGTTTTATACAATGTCACTACTTTTCGATGTACCCAAATTTTAGATAGACATTTTATAGCAGCTTCAAGGTAATAAGGAACAGTACTGGCACAAAGGGATCTCTAGGGACTTAATGCACTGCCATCCCAAAGGCACCTGGTTCAAATCTATCCGCCCCTCTGCAGTAGAAAGATGGGCTGTCTTAGTGTGATTTACTGCCTCTGAAAACTCGCTGGAGGGTCAGCTAGGAGTTGATTGCTGCTCGATACTACTTAAAAACAACAAAGTGGTACAAACCATTAAATGCTTCACTGATAACTAGAATATTGATTTTTCAAACCACTCAGTGGGTCCACAGGAGAACAATCACCATCGTCTATAAAATTATAGTGATGAAAATCATTTGATGCAGTTCTGTTCTGACACACGACTCACTAGGAGTCAGAATTGGCTCCGCAGACCTACAGCAAAAAGATATTAATCCCAGTAAATTTGTTTGAAACTTAGACTATGTTTTTTCTACAAAAACAATATTAGATTGCTTGCTAATCTAGTCTGTATGTAAAATGATTGAATTAATACCAGCCCCAAATACAAAATAACTGATATATTTTCTTTGGCCCCAGCACTAGGATTGAATACCCAGCAGTTCCAAATCAGTGATGAGGATCTAGGACTATTGATCTAATTGGGGGTGGGCGTAGAGGTTGAGAGAAGGTCAGAAAATGCCTCAGCTCACAACACCTGAAATGAGAGGTTTTTCTTTGTACTCTCACTTCCTATTTGGAATTGTTTTTCCCACTAAAGATCTCTAAAGCTATTTCAGAGCTAGATATGAATTGTACCAGTTAGGAATAGTTATAAGTCTGTATGTCTGAGGGTAAATTGTCCTGGAAACAAAGAGGAAATAATTAAATTCTAAATACTTAGACGTGTACTGTTCAGGTGAAAGGAAATAATATCTAGTTAAAAAACTAAAAGAACTCTGATAATATAGAAAGAAGCCAATTTTTATTTGAATTTAAGTTGGATTTGTCATTGACCTAAAAAATGGCTATAAAAAGCCAAGTATTTTATAAATCAAATACTATTTGTTGGAATATCTATTACTTTTTGAACTCAAAACCTGAAAATTTAGTTAGTAAAGGAAACTTGTATTCTTTTCTTCCTTTGGTTGCTAGTAAAAATAAACTTAACACATATCGTGGTTTATCAAGAAATCCTTTTAGCATAGTGTGTATGTAGCGTGTCAGTGTGCTAACTGAAATGGTGGTATGAACCCATTAGCTGCTCTTCAGGAAAAAGTGGGGAAACCGATGGAGGGTCACTGTGAGCCAAACTCAAGAGTGGTGGACTTATTGTGGTTTAAAGGTTGAGGGACATGCTAGGAAGAAAATGAGAAGAAAATTGTTAAACAAGTACCCCAGTGTTCGTAACTTTGTTGAAGCCCCCTGTAGTGATTTGGCCAAAGTAGACAGAAGTGTTCTTCAAGAATGAAATGATAGGTTTTTTGTTTTTTGTTTTTTTTTTAAAAAGAGTGAAACTGATCGTATTTTTATCTTTCACAAACGATGATCTAGTTGGTAAGGTTGCTGGTTTGAACTCACCCAGCAGCACTGCTTCAAGGCTTGGCAGTTGCAGATGCTGATGAGTCATTTTAGATGTATAGTCTCTCCATGCCCCTTGGGTTTTCTCACAAAGCAGATCATCAAAGTCTTTTTTTCAGGGACCTGCTAGCAGGATTAAAACGTCAAATCTTTTCAGTTTAGCAGAAGAGCTTTTAACTCTTTGTGCCACTAGGACTCCATCTGTAAAGCCAGGAAGGTGTTGATGTTGAAATGTGGAGCAGTCCTGCCTGTAACACATGGGGTTTCGATAGTCAGAATCTGCTAAATGGTGACCAGTGGGTTTTTGGTTTGGTTTGGTTTTTTAATCCCAGCTCATGATGACCATGAAAATGAATATATAAAAGAATTGTTTTTATATACCTTTGTGATAGAAACTCTAATTATAATTTTTAAAAGTTAGTGTTTTGAAAAGTCCTAATCTCAAGTTGTAATTATATACTTTATATAAGATCATGGGGAGCTCTAGTGTGTACTGCTGAGAAGCTGCACAGCAGTCCCGAAGGCACACTATTCGAATCCACCAGCCGCTCTGTGGGACAAGGATGGGTAGTCTCCTTTTGTGTGAGTTACAGCTTTTGAAAACCCACTGGAGGGTCTGAGTTGGTTCTGACTCAGTGGTACACAACAGCATCAGTATTTACTCTAAAGATTGGATTATTCCTTAAGGCATAGTAATTAATATCTGTAATTAAAATTAAGCCTGAAAGATATTAAAATTGTATCTGATTATTCTTTTTTTGTTATTCAGGAATTAACAATGCTTGGCAAACCGAAAAGACCTCGCTCAGCTTATAACATTTTTATATCTGAATGTTTCCAGGAAGCTAAGGATTCTTCATCACAGGTAAAAAAAAACTCTTATTTGTTTTTAAAAGTTTAGACTGCCAGAAGTTCTAGAGTCACCTTGTCAAATGATGAAGTAGTAAAGTATGGAAATGAAACTATTTATATGGGCTCTCTTCCCTAGTCTTACTCTTATCTCATAAAATTTATTTGTCTATGTAGTTGTGAATCTAATTATTATTGTTTTAAAACTTAGGTACAATTTTCAGATTTATGTTGAAGATCTTCTGGAGACATTTCTAATATAGCTGTTCTTATTAGTTTTGCAGTCACGAGGGGGCATTAGAACAGAATTAGAGCATTTTGTACTGGGAGTTAAGTGCAAACTATGGCTCCATGTTTCACGTGGAGTTGTACTCGCCAGCACACAGCAGCATTCGCTCCATGTAGCATCTTTTAATGACATTCACTATGTCTGCGGGATGTTCACATGCATGGCATTCTGATCATAGAAATGTGTCAAAGAAGAAAAAAGCTTAGTAATCACTGTTGTGACTTATCTTCCCCCCTTCTTATTTTCAGTAGTTGTTAGATGTCATCGAGTCACGTATGACTCATAGCTACCCTATGAACAACAGATCGAAACCCTGTCCTATCCTGTGCCATCCTCAACATTTTTGACATACTCATGCCTCTTGGTGTAGTCTCTGGCTGAGGGTCTTCCTTTCTTTTGCCGACCTGCAACCTTTCCAAGCATGTCCCTCTTCGAGGACTGGTCTTTCTGAACAACATGCCTAATGTATTGAGGCAAAGCTTTATTGTCTTTGCCTCCAAGGAGCACATTAGTTCCACTTTCTCCAAAACAACTTGTTTGTTCTTTTGACAGTCTGTGGAATATTAAGTACTCGCCTCCAATGTTGTTGTTGTTATGTGCCGTCGAATCGCTTGCGACTCAAACTCTGCTCTGTCCTGTGCCAATCTCATTGTCTCCGACACACTCATCCCTATTGCCCCACTCACTGAATCAGTCCACCTCCCAGAGGGCCTTCCCCTCCTGCACCTGCCCTCCTCTCCCCAAGCATGATGTCCTTCTCCAATGACCGGTCTCTCCTTACAACATGACCAAAGTATGTCAGACGAACCCTCAGAATCCTTGCCTCCAAGGAGCAGCCCTGTTTAACCCTCTCCAGGATGAATCTGTTTTCTGAGCAGTCCATGGTACCCTCAACACTCTTCTCTAACACCAAAGCTCAAAAGCATCAATTCTCCTTTCCTCCCTGATCATTGTCCAGCTCTCTGACGTATAACAAGTGATTGCAAAGACCATGGCCTGTACCAGACACACCTTAGTCTCCAGAGACACACCGTTGCTCTTCAGTACTTTAGAGAGGTCCCTAACAGCAGACTTTCCCATCTCGTCGCCAATACCATGGCTCAAAGGCATTAATTCTTCTGTCATCCTTATATTCATTGTCCCACTCTCAGATACTTAGCAAGTGATCAGAAAGACCATGGCCTGAATCGGACACACTTTAGTCCTCAAATTAGCATCATTGCTCCTCAGTAATTTGGAGAGGTCCCTGATAGCAGACTTTTCCTGCTACAATATGTCTCCTGATTTCCTGACTGCTGATACCAAGGGCGTTGATTATTGAGCCAAGCAAGATAATTTTAACAGCTTCAGTTGTTTCTCCATCTGTCATAATTTGACTGATAGTCCTCTGGTGAGGACCTTTGTTTTCTTGATGTTGATGTTGAAATGTAATCCATACTGAAGGCTGCAGTGGCTTAATGGTAAGGAATTATGCTGCCCACCCAAACGTATACAGTTAGAATCTATCAGTTGTTCTGCAAGAGAAAGGTGGTGGGAAAGGTGGGCAGACTCCTTCCATGTGATTTACTGTCTCAGAAAACCCACTAGAGGGTCATTATGAGTGGGTCGGTTCCAACTCAATGGTACACAACAGCAGCCCCCTTAATTAGTAGTGGACAAACCTTGTTTACTTGCTACCGTCCAAAAAGTATTGTTTACCTCATTCACATTATTAGCATACTTAATCCAACCATATGGCAGATGTCAGAGCCAACAGACTAGGAAGGCAATTATTTAAAAATCAAATCAAACCGCACTCTAAATTATGCACTTCCTAAACAACATGCTTCTGGAAACTGTGAACTTTGAGAAATGACAATAGTTACAGAAAGGCTTCAAGTCTTTTGTTCATAGGGTCGCTGTAAAGATAGTAAACTTGAGTACTACTATCCTTTTTTTATAACTCTGGACATTTAAAACATAAAAAGGGTGGGTTTATTGTGGTTTCAAGGTTGGGATCCATAGTTTTTTCAATCACTATACATCTGAGAGCTGAACAGGGAATAAAGATGACAGAATTGTTGCCTCTGAACTGTGGTATTGGAGAAGAGTATTGAAGATCCCACGGACCACCAAAAGAGAATAGATAAGTCTTGGAGAGGGTGCAGCCAGAGTGCTCCTTGGAGACAAAGATGATAACACTTCGTCTCATACTGCAGGCATGTTGCTAGGAGAGTCTACTTCTTGGAGAGGGACATCGTGCTTGGAAAGGGTGGTGGGATTGCAAAAGAGAGTAAGTCCTTCAACCAGATGGATTGACAGAGTGACTGCAGCAGTCAGCTCTAAAGTGTGTCAGAGAATGTGTTGATGGCACAGGGTAGAACAGGGTTCAGATCTGTTGTTCATAGGGCCACTTTGAGTCATACTGGACTCAGGGCATCTAACAACAACAGTAGGATGGGGTTTCTATCTCACCCTAATTCTGTCTCCTTAATAAAATAAATACTTCATCACCCAAAAAAGTTAATTAGCTAGGAAAGCCATTTTGAACAGGAAACCCTTGACACCACACCTCTTTTGAGAACTGTCTTCCTCAATACGCTTGATGTGGGGCTGCTTACATCTCTCAGGAACTACTGGATGTGTTTTGCAGTCTTGCAGTTCTAAGGCAATGTTTTGAGCATACTATAGAAATTTCTCCCTGGTCTTTGTTTTGACTTTCTAAAACTGTAATTATATGCTTATTGGATCTTCTGACCTGGTGCACTAATATTTCTGTCTTCATTGTCTTCTGTAGCTTAGACTGTTTAGATTTTCATTTTGGGATACTGGATACATTTTTACTTAATCTCCCTATTTTTTAGTACAGCACTATCATCTTCAACTGTACTGGGCTTCCACTGTGTGATTCCTATTTTATGCTTTTGATATAATACATGTCTTAAAGTCTGCGTTGAAGGGAGTTCTGGTGGCCAACTGGCAAGAAGGTGCACTGCAATCCTGAAGGAACTGATTGGAATCCACCATATCCTCTGCTGGAAAAGAGGGTTAATCTCTCCTGTGCCAGTTGGATCCAGTTTGATGATGTATACACACACACACACACACACACACACACACACACACACACGAGTTGGGAGGAACCATCTTCCCAACAACAAAATTCACATTGATGGAGATTCAGCCTCTTTTTTAAATAGACTTTCAGCTACTTTTCATTGTTTTTAGCCCTGTCTTTATCTCTAGTTCTCACCACCTGCTGCTGCCATTGGCTAGCCATTTGGGAATTTGGTCTGTAATTAGGTTGCTCTTTGGTTTTCCCCACTTCAGAATTAATTATTGAATTGATCAGTTATTCCTTGGAGAAGGTGGTAGGGTGGTGAAGGAGAAGAAGGCCCTTAAACCATGAGGGTTGATAAGTGACTACAGGAATGGGCTTAAGTGTGTCCAAGATTGTGAGGATGGCATGGAATTAGTGTTCTGATCTGTTGTTCTTAGGGTTGCTATGAGTCCTATGAGTTGTACTCGACAGCACCTAACATTACCAACAGTAATGAAGAACCAAACCTAAAGGAGCTAAGTTAACTTTTTCTAAGTTACATAATTAAGTTCAGCTAATTATAATTTGGAATTAATAATATATTGTTCCTTTGGTTTTACTTAAACTCTTAAACACAAATTTTAGAATAAACTATAAAGGTACAGAGAAGAAATAAAAACCATTTTGAAGTGAATCCATGAATAATAGATTTTATATTTGAATATCCTGACTCAAGAAAAGTTAGTTAGAAACATAAAGAAACAAGATTTAAACCCATTGATCTCACAGATCTGTGTGGAACAGCAGCAGCACTGGATGCATTCCTGAATGTACATGAGTCATTCTCCATAACAGACAATGATAGGTCACAAAAGTAAGTCTCAATAAATTTCAAGATTCAAGTCATACAGAATCACTTCTTTGTCTTTGACTGTAACTCACTTATTGTTGTTTAGTTAGAACCAACTCATAGCTGACCCTGCAGTGAATTTCCAAGGCTGTAAATTGCACAGGAGCAAGTTGTCCATGTATTCCCCCAGAGCCACAGGTGGACTTGAACCACCAGAGAGCTGTAGCTTTTAAGTTAGCAGTGCACCTCCACATGGACTATACCCTTCGACTACAAGATGTTTATAAATGGAAACTGGAAAATACAGAAATATCTGGAAATGAAACAACTTGTTATTAAACATTGAGATTAAAACACAAAATAGGAAATTAGAAGATATCTTACAGATGAATGAAAATGAAAGTACAACAAACCAAAAGTTAGGGGACATAGAGAAGATCATTTTCAAAGGAAAATTTGTTCTGTTGTCTTTGTCATAGTTTTAAATGCTTATATTAAACACCTATGAGATATCCTCTCACCCCAGTCAGAATAGCAAAATTTAACAGAACAGCAAGCAACAAATGCTGGTGAGGTTGTGGAGAAACTGGAACCCTTATTCACTGTTGGTGGGAGTGTAAAATGGAAGTAAAAAAAAGAGTAAAGTGGAAGGCGGTATGACACTTCTCAAAAAGTTGCAAATAGAGATACCATTTGACCCCCAGTATTTGGGATTATATCCCAAAGAAACCATAACTGACATCCAAGCAGATATATGCACACCCATGTTTATTGTAGCTTTGTTCATAATAGCAAGGAGTTGGAAACAACCTAAGTGTCCATCAACAAAGGAATGGATAGAGAAGGTGTGGTATATTCACACAATGGAATACTATGCTGCATTGAAAAACAAGGAACTCATGCAATATTATTCAAAATGGGTGACCCTGGAGGGCATAATGCTGAGTAAAGTATCTCAGTCACAAAAGGACAAATACTGCATGGTACCACTGTTTAAAACAGGACTGACCTTGGGATTGGGGAGAGACTGAGAAAGATGGGTTCAGTAATGTATACTGCATTGAAACAGATGAGGGAGAAAACTGTTTAAAAGGGATATGTGATTAGGTATTTTTGTCATGACAGGAGTCCAGAGCAAAGGCTATATGGTGGAGTGGACCTGGGGGAGGGTTTGTAAAACAATGAAAGAATTTGTCTTTTACTTTTCCAAGAGGGTAGTGTACCTAGGGGGAAGGGTTGGGAGGGGAGAAAAGTGCAGCAATGAACGAATGGAAATCCAAAGTCTCTGTAAATTTTTATTGAAATTAAGAATAAATTTAAATTAAAAAAAAAACAACTGCTTATACTATAAAAGGGAAAAAGATCCGGGGAGCTCTTAGGCCTAGTGGCAAGAAGCTGCATTGCAATCCCAGAGGTACGCGGTTTGAATCTATCAGATGCTTTACTGGAGAAGGAGAGACAATCTCCTGTACCAGTCGGATCCAGTTTGGCAGTACACACACACACAAATAATAAAAAAATTTAAAAAGAAGGGGGAAAGATCTCAAATCAGTAACTTAGTTTACACATTGAGGAGCTAGAGAAACAAGTGCAAGCCAAGCCCAGAGCTACCTGAAGGAAAGAAATAATATCAGAGCGGAGATAAATAAAGGAATGAAAGAGCAATAGAATCAGTAAAGTCTGAAGCTGGTGTTTTGAAAAAAGTTAAACGAAGTTCATAAACTCTTAGCTAATTTGACAGAGATGATACCTACAATTTTTTTTTTAATGGAAATAATTTCAGTTTTGTTGGGCTTTTTTTTTTTTTTATAAAGAGACCAATTGAGGGCATTGTTGTTAAGAAAATAAATGGCCTACTCAGAATTCTATTTCTCATGAATTAACAATTCAATAAATACTACTTTAACAAAACAGTGAAACTATGCATTGGTTCTGACTTGATGACATAGAAGAACAGGAGATAACAGCTTTGGTTTGGTTGGGTTTACACATACCAGTAATAAAATTTATCTACATATTTAAGACAGCAATGTTAAACTCAGAGATTTTGTTTCATAATTTATCAGACATACACATTTATTTATTTGGAGCATAAAGCTTAATGTTCCATGAAATACTGTGGATGTTTATCTATAGATACCTACAATTTTAAAGTGGAAATATTACAACTTGCTCATCCACTTCCTAAACAACATGCCTCTGGAGACTATGAACTTTGATAAATGATAATAGTTATAGAAAGGCTTCAGGCCTTTTGTTCATAGGGTCGCACTATGAGTCGTGCTCGTCTTCAAAGACAACAACTACATACAAAGGATCATAAGGGAATGAACAGACATAAATAAAGTTGATTGAAGGGAAAGAATATTTAACTTAAGGAGTTAGCATAATATTACTAATGATACAGTTGTATGCCAGAGTTGTAGACCATTATACAATCCTTTATAACAGTAATAGCACACATTAAACTACAGGTGGGTACATAGGCAGATAGGTACTACAAACAGATATGGCAGGTTGAGAGTACACCTGTGAACACGCATACACTTGACAGGTAATATTTCAGCAGTATTTGTGCTCAAATACATCCACGTATACAAGTAGCATCAAGATCCAACAGTAGTACCTTTGCAGAGATGAAAAAGACAGTTGTCAAATTTATATGGAATGGTAAGTCTTAGAAAAATTGCTCAGCAGAATGAGTAGGCACAATATGTATTCATTCAGTGGAATGTTATTGTTGTGTTGATACAACTAGCAACCCTTTAAAACAACAGATCTAAACCCTATCCTCTACCCTCTTAACCATACCTGATATGCTTGAGCCCTTTGTTCAATCATTGGGTCATTGCATGTTGAGAGTTTTCCTCTCTGACCCTCCACTTTTCCCAGCATTAGGTCACTAGTCCCTGTCAGACCAGCACAGCTGGCTTTTTCCAGTTATTTTGAGAGCTTTGTCCCCTGCATTTTTCTCCCATTCTGCCCAGTATTTCCCTCTGTGATCCCTCTCAGAGTGGTCTGCAGTGGAAGCCATGCACTGTCTAGATGTCCTGATCTTAAGGGCATGGAGACTTGTTTCATGTAGTCTTTTGGACTAATTGCTTCCTTGCATATTTTATTTTCTTCTCTTTTCTTTGCCCCAGAGGTGTGGAATATAGTAGACCATTGTCTTTGTGGACTGTGTAGTGTCAAGTGACATTGATGTTACTTGAAACTAGGCCCAGCAACTCATTCCCTTGAGGTGTTTGGTTCTGGCTGCATTTTTAAAACCTTGCCTCCTACATATTCATGGATACTCTACTCATGGATATATTTGTAACACCTGTAAATGCATATGTAGACCTGTCCTGTTCTATCTATATATCTGTAGATTTAGATCCATTTGTCTTTTCCACCTCTGTTCAGTATCTTTGTATCTTTACTGCAAGATTGGGTATATAATAGTGTTTACCTTTTTTGCCTTTAATTTTTGCGTTCTTTGTAGTATTTTCTTTTGTCTTGTTGCTGTTGTGTACTGTCAAGTTGGAACCAACTCATAGCTGACCCTCTAGCGCATTTTAAGAGGAGTTCATTACGTGCAAGGAGATTACTCATCTTTTTCCTGTGGAATTGCTGGGCGATTATAGAACTGTACGCCTTCAGGCTAGCAGTGCAACTCTTTACCACTAAGCCACCAAATCTACCCTCCATTTACTGATTTATTCTCCTCCCCCCTTACATTCTTGTAACTTCCTCCTCCCACTCTTGTAACTTCAAAGAATATTTCTATCTGTAAACTTTTTCTTAGATTTTGCATGGTGGTGCCATGCAATATCTGTCCTTTTGTGATTGACTGTTTAACTCAGGAAAATGCCCCCTAGAGGTGCTTCATAGATTAAAAATTACTCTTTAATTTTGTAAACTATACCTTTGTCCTTTTAGTTCTTTCTATCAAATTTTGCAAAGTGAGTGTTTAGTGAAAGATAACATTTTTATTTCAGTGAAGATTTAAAAGTATTTTATCATACAGTCATTCAGAGATAATTTGTTTGTAACTTTTGTTGTTTTTATGGTTGGAGTTAAAACTTTAATCACTGTGGTACCTAAATCTGCTTCTAAAATGTGTGTTGTTTTATAGGCAAAGCTGAAGACTGTGAATGAAAGCTGGAAAAACCTGACTAGCTCTCAAAAACAAGTAAGTTGTATAGTTTTTAGTCTACTGTTAGAGAATATATCAGGGCAGGATTACTTTTTCTTCATTAAAAAACAACCTTAAATTACTAATAACAGTTAAATTACTGAAAAAATATTGTTAGAATCAGTTGAACCTTTTTTTTTTGGTAGTTGACTAAAATAAAATTTATGTTTGAGCTAAAAAAAGAATCACTCTTAAGCTTAGAATATCTACTATATACACAGTCACATCCCTCCTTTGCCTTCTTTCTATAGTCCCTTAGCCCTAAAATTGTAGTATTTTTGCTTTGAAAAAATCTCATCTTTTTCATATATAAATTTTATCTCACAAAATCATTCTTTCTCTTTCTGCATCTACAATGATAATGTAGTTTCTATCATATGTCTCATTGCTAAGAGTCTTCTCAAAAGAAATAATTTAACACTTTGCTCTTTTCTTCAGGTCTATATTCAGCTTGCTAAAGATGATAAAATTCGCTATGATAATGAAATGAAATTGTGGGAAGCACAGATGATTGAAGTCGGAAGACATGATCTTATACGTCGCAAAATGATGCCACAAACGAAAAATGAGAATTGAGTGTGTCCATCCTGGAGACTTCAGAAAACCAGTTCGGTCTCAATACTTGAAGCTGTTATAAAATTTGAAAGGATAAAATTGGAAAACATTTTCTATTCAATTCCTTTTCTTTAAGCTCATGGACTTTTGCCAATTTAATACATATTGTATTAGTATTTTACTTGGGAAACCCAAACAGATAAAAGTTCATGCTAAATTAATTTGTATTTAAGGACTACTGAGGATCAGAATAATTTATGCAGATTCCACAATGAATCATTTGCCTTTTTCAAGGTAAACAAGACTGTGAACTTTTTTATACTGAATGATTATGGAAAGAATTTTGCTTCCTTATATTATGGAAACAGGAGTTTACTTTTGAAAGGGTCTCAGTGATAGAGGCCACAGTATTCTCTGATGTAGATGTCTCTTGTTTCTCATTTTTAAAAAGAATCAGAATTTATCTAGGAAAATTCCAATTCTAGGTATAATTCCTAAATTCAGAGTTATATATACAGTTGACTGTATATAAGTGATCTCCAGTTTCAGTTGTAAATTTTATAAAAGGGACTGAGAAATTGATAAACTTTTTCCTTACTATCTTTTCTTTTCTCTGAAGTAAAAGTGAAAAATAATGTGCCAGATATACATACATATTATTTTATATGCATAAATAATTATGCATAGAATAAAAGAAGTAATCTTTAATTTTATATACTTCCAAATTATCTGTTTTAAAGTGAAACAGTTTTACAGACCATTTTTTATTTTAGCTAGAGAATTAACACGTTTTTCTCAATTATTTTTCTCTCTTTTATGTGTATATTTATCAAAAAATATAGAGATTGTATCTGGTTTAAGTTTTAAAAGAACTTGAGGAAGCAAACATTTACAAAGTGTCTAGATATTGAACCGGTAATTTCTAGACATCTTGCATAATTTTACAGCCTTACATAAGTAGATGGCCTGTGAGCTAATAATCATGCTTATATTTTTAAATGGTTTAAAAAAGAATATTTCATGGCTTATGAAATTGACATTTCATTGTCCATAAATAAAGTTTTATCAGAACAGTTCTGTTTAGTCTTGCTGTCTCTGCCTGCTTTTGTGTTACAGGCTGAGTGGTTGCTCAGGAAACTTCTTAGCCCATGAAGCCTGAAATCTTACTGACTGGCCTTTTTTAGAGAAACTTTTCTGCCAGCCTGTGGTTATTGTAAATGAGGATGTGATTAATGTTCTAGTGTGCTGATAGGTTGAGATGTTTTTTCCAGAACTTTTTTTTTTTAAATTCATTGTCACTCTTTTCCAAAAAGGAAAAAGATCGTCTCTAAGCTGAACAGACTAGCTTCTTGGTGTTAACAAGGTTAATAATCGTTAGTTCAAGTTATGTTGTTTCATGTAATGTGGAATGCAGTTCTATTTTTATGGCTCAGTAAAGTGTATCTTTGAGAGTTTCCCAGCTAGCACATACCACAAAACCTTGCTGTGTGGAGCCTTTGTTTATCCTCTTAGAAGAGTCAAGCAGAGCTTTTCAAAATTCACAGCATCTTACTAAGAATTTATCATTTGTTTACAGAGACAAAAATAAATCCGAATTTGTCACTTGATAACACTGTGCAAACTATTTGGGAGTTGTAGATTTTTGACCTGCAGACACATTTTGAAAATCCTTGTTGGTGTGTAGAAAATAAAAAAGTCACAAAAATATGATACATTAGTTAATGGACTTTGCTATGGGAGTGACTGAAGAGAGAAATACAATTTAAATTAAAACATAGGATTAAAGTATGTAAAATTCATCTTAATGTATAAATAGAGGATAAAGCCTGCCATTAGTAAATAGACACTGTGAGTAGTTGGGACTGAGGAGATACATGCTAATCATACTCGTTTTTTAAAAAAAAACAAAAACAAAAAAAACTGGGGTTCCAGAAAATAATCCCTAATTTCTTAAAGCATTTATTGTTTTTAATAACTTTAACTTCTCTACTGTGCATTTAAAATGGTCTTAATTATGTACCATCCTCAAGAGCCTGGAAAATCAAGGGAGCATGATTTTAGCAATGTTAGTAATGAATAAAAAGGGACAAGTAAGGCAGAAAGAGTCTATTGATCTACACCATTTTACTGTTTTAAGATTCAAATCAATCTTTGCAAGTATATTGGCAGGTTCCGTGTCTAGTAAGTTCTGTATGTATTTATCAGGAAAAAGCCATGAAACAAAGTCCAGAGCAAAACCATTTGTGATTTGTTTCCAAAAGTATCATTTTAAAATAAGTCTTATTTGCTTCAGTACCCATACTAAATGCCATCCAGTAGTAACAATAGAACTTATCTTGTTATAATAATACTAATAACCCACGGTTATTCATATAAAACCTTACTCTTGTCCTAACACAGTAGTTGCTATAGAGGTGAAATATGGCTGTTAAGGGGAAAGATGCTGAAAGAAATGAAATAAAACGGTTTTTGAAGTTATTGGTAAATTCTGAGCAAAGTTTTTTTACATATTCATTGGAATGGCGACACTGGTATTTTGAAAAAATGTGATGGGAAGGGGTTTATTTTTCTTTCTGATGTTACCTTAGAACACTGTAATACTTATAATTGCATTTATAAAGGTTAACTCCTCTTTTGTAAATGCCATTTTGTACACCATCTCTTATTTTTCTTTAGGTTCTCTGGATGTTTTTGTTTAGATTTCTCGGTTTTAAAATAGATAATACATGTGGATTTAAAGTAACTAGAAGTTTGTATTTCTTTTTGTGCTATTTAGTGTAACTAAAATTTTATTTCTTCTAGCAGCAGGAAGACCTTTTTATACTGTTAAGTGATCGTATTCACTAGTTTGTCTTCATTTTCTCAGTAGTTAAGACTATTCTCTCTCTTCTCAGCCACTCTCTTCACAGTATAAAGCTATCAAAGACAAATTTGAGGATGTTAATACCACAGATTACAAGGATGTTTTGAATTTTTAAAGCAGTAATTTTTAAAAAAATTTATTATTTTTGTGTGTGTACCATCAAATTGAATCTAACTGGTAAAGGAGGACACTGTCCCTTCTTCTCCAGCAGAGCATCTGGTGGATTTGAACTGTGCACCTCTGGGATTGCAGTGCAGCTTCCTGCCACTAGGCCACCAAAATAATAATTTTTTTCTTAATTGAACTTCTTCACTACTTTGAATTTGTAAAATTGTGCAGCAAATATAACCAGTCTCACATTGTTCACAAATACAAATAGTTGATGAAATAATTTTGTTCGTGAGGATGAAAGAAAACAGGGTCATCAGCACTGGTGATGTGCAGCTAGACCAGAGGTGGTTTGTGTCCACTAGAGGCTCTGCAGGAAAAAAAATGAACCGTCTCCTGTGAAATTTACAGCCTCTGAAAACCCACTGAAGGGTCAGCTAGGAGTCACTTCCACTCACCATGAGCAAATGTTTTTAGACATCATCCTACATACTTACATATGTGAAATGCAAAGAAGTTTGATACTTACATTGACTTAAAATTTATCTTCATCTTTTTTTGTTTTGTTAGAGAAATACTGATTTTAATTAAACATCAAGTAAACTCTAGGCATCCATCATCATTCTGCCTAAAACAACAACAAAAACAATCAGCAAAACTGTTGAGACAAGGCACAATTTCCCCCATCCATGTTGTGTGGCTCATTACAAAAACAAAGCTTATGAAAATGTTAAACATAAAAGACTGAAATTTTTTTAAAGAATTAAAAAAAAACCACCCCACAAAACTTGCCAATGTTCCTTAGTCTACAAAATAGCACCAGTAGAAGTAAAAGATATTAAAAGCTGTAATGGCAGCATTTCTGAAATACAGTTTGTTTGACGTCACATTGCCCTTATAAAATGACTTCTTATGGAATAAAAAAGGGATTTTATTTGAAAATCTCTGGAGAGAGGCACAAGCTAACTGCATATTTTGTGTTCTTTCCCTGACATCCTGGAGGAGGACAAAGTATGAGGCATGTGCTTCAGTCCTAGCTGTCACTGCATCAGACTTCAGACAAGGGATGAGGAATTGGGGTATCATTTTTTTTTAAATCGTCATCTTTTTATCTCGTTGATTGCTGTTGAGTCGGGCACAACTCCTAGTGATCCTATGCACTGTCGTTTCTCAAAGTTCATATAGTTTCCAGAGGTATGTTGTTTACCAAGTGGGTGTCACTCCTGTTTTCAAACCTGTCTTAAACTAGGAGGTCCACCAAACACTGTCCACCATGGGTAACCATTACAGTATTTGACACCCTAGTGGCACAAGGTTCAACATCACAGCAACCCCAGGTTACCGCAGCACAGGAAATAGAAGAGTGCTGTATCACTTAGAAGAATGTTTCTTTCATTAGTCATAAGTAAGACGGAGGGGAAAAGAGAAAAGTCATTTACACCATTTTTGATGCTGACATTTTACTAATAGGTTGCTAAACATTGGCCTTCACATTAAAAAGAGCAGTTAGTTATACCCATTACTAAGGTATATTCATTCTGAATACTGAACAAATAAGCTAAGAAGCTAGGCTACATGAAGAAAGTGGCATCAAGATTGAGGAAGATTCATCATTAGGCTATGCTGTGCACATGACATAACTTTGCAGAGAATGAAGACCTGGAGCATGGATAAAACCCAGAGATAGACCCTTCGGTATAGTATACACCTCAACATCAAGAAAACAGCCTCCCCACTGGATCAATGTACAGCATTAACACAGATGGAAGGAAAATTGAAATCAAGGATTTCATTTTACCAGCAACCATAATCAACACTCATGGAAGCAGCAGTCAAGAGATCAAAAGATGTGTTGTATTTGGAAAATCTGCTGCCAAAGCGCTAAAGAGCTTGGATGCCACTTTAAAGATTATGATTGACCTAGCTAGTCATATTTGGTTCATATCCATGTAGAAACTACAATGAATAAGGAACTGGAGAATAATTGATACCTTTGGATTGTGTTGGTGAAGAATATTGATAAAGAATATACCATAGAATGTTCCCCCCC